GATTCCCACTCACAATGACGCTATGGGACAGAGTGGGGCTGCCCCATAGGGTTTCCAAGGCTGTAAGCTTTAAGGGAGCAGACTGCCACACCTTTTTCTGGTGGAGCGGCTGGTGGGTTCCAACCGCCGACTTTTGGGTTAGCAGTCGAGCGCCTTAACCACTGCGCCACCAGGGCTCCTGGTGGGTGGGGGGGGAGGGACTCTTAAATCAGCACCCACCGCTGCCGCTGACAGTTCCCAAGCTTGGCGAAAGCTCGCCCCGCCAGCGCCGCCTGCCCTGGAGCGAAGTGCGGTGGGGCTGGTGAAACCGAATCTGGCGGATCAGTACAGCGGCTCTCCCCGCCCTTCCCCGCCTGCCTTTCCCTTCCCCCTCCCTCCCCGGGCCCGCCAGGCCACCGAGCTCTGCGCCTGCGCATTGTGCCCGTGGGCGTGGCATGGACTTCAGCCTGCCCCCTGAGAGAGCCCATTGGTCCCTGGGTGTGGCTGACAGCTCCTGGCGCCTGCGGTGGGAGCACGTGCTGGGGGCTGGAGCAGCCATCACGGCTATGGCGTCGTTACTTTGGGGAGGCGACGCAGGGGCGGCGGAGAGCGAGAGGCTGAACAGCCACGTAACCGCCACCGAACTGGGGAGGGGATTGGGGTGGGGTACAGAACAGGGACTTACCCCCCAGAGGGAAATTTGCTGGAGAAGGGAGGGAGAGCCCGCCTAGCGTTTGGAGTGGGGCGTCAAATGGTGGAGGGGAGACGTGGGAAGGGCTTGGGAGAGGGACACGGGAAAGGAGACCCCTAGAGAGACAAGACCTTTGGTTTAATGGGGCAAAATGAAGACCTCGACGCCCCTGGAAGCCAAAGGAGGGAAAACAGCTGGTGGTCCCAACGAGGACTCCCTAGTTTTCTACTCTCCCGGTGTGGCCATTAAGCCTCGGCTATCTTCCCTCCTGTATCTGCCAACGAACTGTCCTATCTACCATCCCTTTTCCTGCTGGGAACCAACCAAGCTCGCCCATATTTGGTCTAAACCCATTGCAGTGGAGTTGGTTCTGACTCGGCGACTAGATAGAAAGTCTCCTCCAATTTTAGGATGATTAACGCAGGAGACCTAATCCTGAAAGAAATCCTTTAATACCTAACATTGCAAAGGAAACCAAGTCCTCGGGTGGTCTTCCCACATCCCTTCTAGCTGCTGTTAGGGGTGCACTGGGCTGGTTGATCTCTTGCTTCCTAATACTAGCTGAAATTTGTGTCTTGCAATAGTTTTCAAACCTCATCCACCCGCGGAAGAACTTTAGGGATAGTAAGAGTACTGCAGTCTCAAAAGGAGGTGAGTGCTGCTGGCTAAAGCAGATTGACCTGTTCTCAGCTACCTAAAAAATATTTCTTTCATTTTGTCCCTGCCAACTGAAATACCTTTAGCTCCCTTAATGTCCCCCACCCTCCACCACCTTCCCGACCTTTTTGCCCACTAGATGACCGTTGTTCCACCAGAAGACTCTTCTGTCAGTGCACATCGCACAGTGTGGAAGAAAAATTGGGATAACACACTTTCACATCTGCTCGGCATTTGTCTTTACATTTGTTTCTCTTCCATCCTTTTAGATGATTCTGTTAATAACACAGAGGAAGATGAGGAAGAAGATGTAGGTAGGAGATAAATTCATTTGCATGTATCAACTAGCATTCTGTTAATCACTTTCACAATGTGAGTGATAGTACAATCTCCGGTGGAATAGAACTGTCTTTGCTTCTGTTTTCTTTATAAATAGTCAATATCAGAAGAAATACTAAATTAAGAGTGGGTCATAGTTCCCTAGAGGAAGTCAAAATGGAGTATGCAGGAGTGGGTAAAGAATTTTCATCTGGCAAGGAGGACTTATTCTCCTGGAGATGGCTGTTGGCTTGCTTGAGGTTAGCGGCTGTGTGTATGTACAGAGCAAAAGAAAGGATGGGTCCACATGGAAGAAGGAATTGTCAGTGCTATGTCATTCTTTCCAGAACCTTCTTTTAAAAGAACAGGGACAACTTATTAGATGTCATTCAAGAGGCTTGATTTCTCCCCTGCAATACTTTCTTTTTTTACTTTTGCTTTTCCAGTGGATTTAGCAGCTACTTCACTGTTAAACAAGTTAATCAGGCAGTCCTTGGTAGAATCCAGTCATCTAGTTGAAGTCTTACAAAAGGATCCCAGCTCTCCGTTATACTCAGTAAAAACATTTGAAGAACTGCGGCTGTGAGTATTTTTACTCTTTTAATATAGGAAAATGTTGGAAAGCACAGCACAGAACAAACTAATCTGTTAATAGTAAAAACAATGTGGATCTTCTTTGTGTTCCAATATTTAGTATTAAAATGAAATGTGTACGTTTTGCATGCAATTAAAATATAGCTCAAAGAAGGTCACTAGGACACCTGCATTTCCCAGCCAATTGAGAACATTTTTGATGGTAAAATATTTTAACTTTGCTGTGTAGCTAAGCCAGGTGCAGTTAGAGTGCTACTTTCGGTACTAGAATCCAGATTCAGGGCCAGTGATGGCTCAAACATCCTCTCTTACACCTTAGGATAAGTTACAAGCCTACACGTTTCTATTTATATTTTGTTTCAGATGGTATTAAAATGGATATCTTTCCCAAATGGGTTTGCATTCCCTAGGGTTGTATCAGTTGGCATTAAGGAAATATATTTTAACAGAAGGGGAAAGTTACTGATGCTGACTTACATAGAGGATGAAAAAGGATCAAAATCCCAATGTCCTGACATTTTCTGATTGGTAGGAGATGCCTTCCTATGATTAAAAATTGGCTGCTGGTAACCCACCAATTAGGAAGTGTTCTGCCCACTTGGCTTTCTCATCTCTCTAACGTCTATCGTGAGGCCTCAGGACAAACACATTTAGAGATGGTGACTCAGAATGATGAGGTAGTATTGTGTCTTCTGAAGAGCTGATTTAAGAGACAGAGTTGATTTAAGAATTTCGTAAATAAAGCTCTATCTTCCCTGAAAATTGTAGTTAAAAGCATCACTGTTTTTCCTTTAAAAGAATTAATAAATCTCACTTAGCTTTCTGCTTGTGGGGAAAATATAACTCTTTTGGCAACATGATACACTTTTTTTTTTTTGTGCTTTAAGTGAAAGTTTCCAATTCAAGTCAGTTTCTCATACAAAAATTTATACACACATTGTTATGTGACCCCAGTTGCTCTCCTTATACTGTGACAGCACACTCCTCCTTTCCACCCTGGATTTCCCGTGTCCATTCAACCAGCTCCTGACTCTCTCTGCCTTCTCATCCCACCTCCGGACAGGAGCTGCCCATTTAGTCTCATGTATCTACTTGAGCTAAGAAACACACCCTTCAAGAGTATCATTTTATGTCCCATAGTCCAGTCTAATCTTTATCTGAAGAGTTGGCCCCAGGAATGGTTTTAGTTTTGGGCT